TGTGTATAAGCATGGAAGCAGATCCCCGAGCCCCAACTGAGTCTTTCTTTTTTAAGCTGTAAATAGACACAATACCTTTATTTTATTATTTATTTATTTATTTCTATGTGGTACTGAGGATGGAATCCAGTACCTCACACATTCTAGGAAAGCGCTTTACCACTGACCTACAAACCAACCCCCTACCCCAGCTGAGTCTTGAAATGACTGCAACTCTAGTTTACAGTCTGACTATAACCTCACAAGAAACCCTGAGCCACAACCATTCAGCTAAGCCACTACCAGATTCCTGACCTCTGGAAACTGAGAGATACTATTTATTGTTTTAAGCTGCTAAATCTTGGGAGTAATTTGTTCATACTATAGTAACAGTATACAGGACATATAGCAAGAGATCTGGAACCTGGCAAAGAACTGAAAAGCAGAAAGAAGTCAACATAAGAAAAATATTTGACTTAGGGACTGAGAATTAAACCCAAGGCCTTTTTATTTTATTTTGAGTCAGGATCTTCAAGGCTGATCTTGAATTTTCAATCTTCCTGCCTCAGCCTCATGGAATTGCTGGGATTATAGGCATTCACCATCACATTAGGCAGCAGCTGACTGTTTTAAGTGAGTTTAAATTTTGCTGATAGACTGTCCTAATGAAGCTCCAAAACAGGAGACTTATGAACTTAAATAATAAAATTTTATAACTACACACACACACACACACCCTCCTCTAGAAGAGCGGTCAGATGGCAAATCTGTAATCCTTGTATTCTAAAGAAATTACATGAGTTACTCTGAACTGGTACCATTTCTTCCCATTCAAAAAAAAAAAAAAAAAGCTTACCTGTTTTGAAAGGAGGGATGGATTTCTCCTTTCTTGCTAATTGTTGAGGGCCACAGCGAGTCGGGATGACACATGGCATTTTGCCAGAAGGGAGTGGTTGAGAGGTGATGCCAGTGAGCCATTGAGATGATGATGATTAAGATTAGCGGTGTATATTCAATTGTATATAGACCCCTGCTGTCCGCCTAGGGTGCCTGCTACTTTGGAGTTCTGGTGGGGATTCCTGGGGAGTTGGTTGGGGAAGTTCCGGGTGTGTGGTATTGATGGAAGGGCCACGTGGGTGGTGTTCTCGCAGAGTTCGGAAATAAAGTTTGTTCCTGCTTGAGTGGCCCGTGATTTGTGCCCAGCCAGACTGTGGCAGCTAATGACTTTTCTTGCATCTTCGCACAATACGAACCTGACTAAACCATACAAAAACCCCCATTCTTGGAATTACTCCTGCTTGGAAGTGAGTATTATATAAGCATTCTTCTCAAGATGAAAAGTAGTTCCTACCTAAGATCCTTAACTGAATAAAGTATCTGCACCCCATGTATACTGGTTGTTTTTTTAAAAGAGGGTATCAGTATCTTCCTTGCAAAGGGAAGTTTTCTTCCTTTACCCACATCAACCTCTGGAATCCCATCCCTATTTTTTGTTGTTTTTTTCTTGGGGTGGGGTGGGTACCAGGGATTGAACTCAGGGCCACTTGACCACTGAGCCACATCCCCAGCTAGGACAACAGCCTAGGACAAAGCAGAATTTTCATCTTAAGCTCTTTATTTATAGACAGGGTCTCACTAAGTTGCTTAGCGCTTCACTTTTGCTGAAGCTGACCTTGAAGCAATCCTCCTGCCTCAGCCTCCCAAGCCACTGGGCACCTTGGATTACCACTGCACCCGAAGGATCCCATCCTTTTATGTATGGAGTGCTTTTTTCTTCCAGTTTCCATACTTTTCTCAACCAAGGCAATACTTCAATCCCCATCTCTGCATTTCCTTGTCTCCAATTTTGGTTAATGGAGAAGAAAAATCTTTTTCTGACTGGTTCCCTCAGCCATTTCTATGTTTTTCAATACGAATAAATTCTATTACTTGTAGTTCTATTACTTGTGCATAGCATACAGATAGTTCCAACTTACCAGATACTCCATCTCTTGATTTCAAGAAAATTGCCCTTGCCAGCCTTCTAGCATTCATTCTTCTATCATTCCTGTTTTTCTAGCTGGCTTTTTATCCCAGAAGTTCTAACTCCTTATCTGTTCAAAGAGAATTTTCTCCATACCTCTCTTTTTTTCAGACAATTGCAAGAAAGAGCTCACAGTCAATCCCTCATTTCAAAGACCCAGCTATTCCCCTTGGTTATTTTATTTATTTTTGTGGTATTGGAGACTGTTTTAACAGTCTCAGGGTACCAGTATCTTCCTTGCAAAGGAAGGTTTCTCTCCCTCTACTCCATATCCACGTTGGGGATACCATCCTCTTTTTTTTTTTTTTTTCTTTTTTTCGAGGGGAGTGGTACCAGGGCTACTTGACCACTAAGCCACATCCCTTTATAATTTTGCAGTACCGAGGGCCAGTTAGATAAGCACTCTACTACTGAGTTATAACCCTAGTCATTTTTTTTTCATTTTATTTTGAGACAGGGTGTTGCTAAATTATCCAGGCTGACCTTCAACTTGTGATCCTCCTGCCTTAGCCTCCTCAGTCACTGGGATTACAGGCATGCACCAAGGTCCTGGCTTCCCCTTGGTTTATTATAAACAAGAGTGACCAAATTCTAGATCAGATATACTTGTGACCCTTTCACAGCCTCCTGAATGGTACAATAACCTCCAAAATGTCAGTCTTCAATGCCAACCCACTTCCTAGGTATTGTGGTTTGCCGCAGTCTGGCTGGGCACAAATAACTGAGCCGCCATGAGGCACTTGTAGGTTCAAATAGGAACTACTTTATTGCCCGAACTCCAGTGGCATTCCACGCGCACTCCCCGGGAACTCTCTCAGCCCTCAAAGAGGCTCAAGGAGAACTCCAGGCGCCATCCCACTCGGCTGTGGCTCTCAACAGTGGTTCCCCTTGCCAGGGCCACAGTGAAGACCACCAAATCACAAAAGCAGGATAAATTTCAAATCTGGGTGGGAAAGGGTACATCTAAAGAGATAACATCTATGTTCATCCTCTATCCCACCCAGAAAAGATTTAGAGTTGTGTCCTCAAAGACCCCTGATTTTTGTCTTTAATAAAAAAGAAAGAGGGCTGGGGATGTGGCTCAAGTGGTAGCCCGCTCGCCTAGCATGCGTGGCCCGGGTTCGATCCTCAGCACCACATACAAAGATATTGTGTGCTGAGAGCCATTAGCCAAGTAGGTATGACAATTTCCTTGCCAGCGTACCCCATGTTGCTTAGAGGAAGGACTCGTGGAAATGGACTTGCCTTGGACATTTGCAGTGACATTGCATGTATGTTTGAGAAAGGTGACCATGCTCAAGGAGCAGGGTGGATTCGGGTTTAGGGAGGAACCTACGGGATTAGGGCGGTTCCAGGTTTAAGATTTTGCAGCAGAATGTGATTTTTTTCCCCAGAATGTGTTTGTAGAGGGCCGGTGTGAGTTCGGGAATAAAGAATTGCTGTTTGAATCTACAAAGCTGTGAGTGGCTCGTGATTTTGTGCCCAGCCAGACTGTGGCAGTTGTGTCCGCCAAAAACTAAAAAATAAACATTAAAAAAAAAAAAGAAAGAAAGAAAGAAAGAAAGAAGAGTTAGAGCCTTACAGCCTCCTTGACCAGTTTTCTACTGGATTCGATCATTGCTTCTGTCAGTGTAAATTCCGTTTTAATCATTTCCAGCACATTGATAGCTGATTCCAATGGTGTGAGCTCAGCTTCCATATCAAAGGAACAGTCTAGGACAAAGCAGAGTTTTCACTTTAAGCTCTGTACTAAGAGTGGAAATTATGTCCAAAAAATATACACATTTATGGCAAAGGATCATGCAAATATATGAACATTTTCGTTTTTGTTGCTGACATACTTGCCACAGGCTTTTGTATAAGGGCAAATTCAAATCAATGAGTTTAAAGTGACATCATTTAATATTTCTCAAGATGGCTAAATTATTATTATTTTTTAACATATTCATTTGCCTCTCAAATTCAGGATAACACATCCTCCTCATATGTAAGTGGCCAGAAACTCAACACAGTTTGCTAAACACCTACCAATTTCAATTCAGGAAAAAAAAATGTGCTCATACTTTGAAAAATTCTCTAACATGGGGAAAATATGTCCATATTAATATAACTCACTTTCGACATAAACAAAGTTGTATTAACAATTAACAGGTGGGAGAAAACACACATACACACACACACACAAGCAACCAAAAGAACCTTAACTGGAGAAACCTAGAGCCAGAGAATATACCCATTATAGAATGAAAGAGATCACCGTGATGGAAACAGCAGTGCACCTTAACCCGGAATCCTTCAGTTTCCGAATATAAGTTTGAAAACAAAACCCTACGTAAGCAAGCCCAGAGAAGAACACAAATATAGCCATACCTAAATTTTCCCCTTCTTCAATGCGTGACAGACACTGCATAACCCGAAGCAACCGGGACACCGTATGCTCCTTCCCCAAGGGCCTGACAAGCAAAGCTGAGAAAGAAGACATCGTTGGCTTGACGACCCCTACCCGCTACCCAGCGCTCACAGACCCCTCCTTCCCCCGGCCGGGCCCTCACCCTGCATGATGTCCCGGATCTGCCTGAAGTCCCCGTACCGGCTACCCCGAAAGGCCCGCAGAGCCTCGTGGAAGTAGAACTTGAGCACCCAGCGATTCACCGCCTCCTCCAGCCGTGCCTCCCCCGCGCCCCGCTCCGCCGCGCCCCCCAGCCCCGGCTCGTGGCGCCCTCGCCGAGCCCGCCCGCTACTCCGAGACGCCCGTCTGCCCGCAGCCCGCCCGCTGCCGTCGTTGCTCCCGCCTCCTCCCGCCATCGCGTCCGATCGCCGTGCGCCCTCCCCGCCTTCCTGGCTGGGCCGCTTCCTCGGCTGTGACGCCGATGGGTCACGCACTACGCCCGGGCCGGAAGCGGGACCCGCAGTCCCGGCTCCAGCGGCCATGATACGGACGGTGTTTCAAGCCGCCCGAGGGCTTCTGGGAGGGAAAGGACCGGGGGCCCCAGCCCCCCTTCCGGCCTCCGTAGTTCCCGAAGTACGCGCCGCAATGCCTGCTGGGGCTTGAAGTCCGCACCAACGAGACCCGGGAGCTCCACTCCAAACTTAAGAATTCGATGCTGGAGACGTGGGACTCAGATACTGAAAAGTAAGTACATGCAGACTAATCACTTTGAAAAGTGTGCAAAGGAACATAACAGATGAAAGTTTAATAAACAAATTTACATTTTAGCAAATAATTTATAAAGCCTATGTAAGCCCAAGCAAGGTCAAGAAATAGAACCTCAAAAACCATTAGACATATAATTTTCAAAATTCACAAAATAGCACATTTTGTGGCGGACCAAACATTAAAAAATAAGCAAGTTCAGCTGGGCACTATGGCTCATACCTGTAATCCCAGCGGTTGGGGAGGTTGAGGCGGAAGATAGCGAGTTAAAAGTCAGCCTCAGCAATTTAGCGAGGCCCTCAGTAACTTAAGACCCTGCCTCTAAATAAAATATAAAAAGAGCTGAGGATGTGGCTCAGTGGTTGAATGCCCCTAGGTTCAATCCCCAATACCAAAAAATAAAAAATAAAAATAAAATAAGCAAGTTCAAAACAAGCCTCAGCTATTTAGCAAGGCCCTAAGCAATTTAGCAAGACCCTGTCTCAGAAAATAAAAGGGCTGGGGATGTGACTCTGGTAAAGCGCCCCTGTGTTCAATCTAGTACATACATACATACATGCGTACATAAATACATGCATGAATACATACATAAATAAATAAAATAAGCAAAAGAATCACCCACAATCCCACATGAAAAGAAAGTTGACATTTAGGCTTCTAGACTTCCAATGTCTTCTACCATTCCAGGTAGTTGAGATTGAATCAGAGGTCCTCTACCACTAGTCCTTCTGTTTTTTGTTTGGAGAAAGGGTGCTGCTAAATTGTAGAGGCTGGCCTCCAACTTGCAATTCTGCTTCAGCCTCCTGAGTTACCGGGATTACAAGCATGTGCCATTGAGCCTGGTACTAATGCCTATTTATGTGTGTGTGTGTCTGTGTGTGTGTTTGAAAAATGGGATGGTACTACACATATTCTTTCATGCCTTCATTTTTATTAAACATGCAATGAACATCTTTCCATGTCATTTTTCTACAGTATCTTTGACAGCTACATAACACCCCAGAATATGGATGAAGGAAAGTTGTTTTGTTTAGGCTACTTAAAAGTTTTGTAGAACATTTAGCCAGGTGTGGTGGCATACCTGTAATCCCAGCAGCTGGGGAGGCTGAGATTGCAAGTTCAAAGCCTGCCTCAGCAATTTAGCATGGCCCTAAACAATTTTGTGAGACCCTGTCTCAAAATAAAAAGTTTTTTAAAGGGCTGGGATTGTGGTTCAGCGGTAGAGCGCTCGCCTCACACGTGCAAGACCCTGGTTCGATCCTCAGCACCACATAAAAATAAATGAATAAAATAAACATATTGTGTCTAACTACAACTAAAAATGAATTAAAAAAAACTTTTTTAAAAGTGCTGGGGGTGTTGGTTCAGTGAGTAAGCACTCCTCTTTCAATCCCCAGTACAAAAAAAGAATGAATGAATGAATGAATGAATGAATGAATTAAAATACCTGGGCACAGTGACCCACACCTATAATTCCAACGACTTGGAAAGCTGAGACAGGAGGTTGAGGTACAAACATGGCAAATTCAAGACCAGCCTCAGCAACTTAGTGACCCTGTCTCAAAATAAAAAATTTAAAACAGTAGGGATGTGGGTTCAGTGGTAGAGCTACCCTGGGTTCAATCTCCAGTACTAAAATAAATAATAATGAAAACAAATCTCACAGAGAATGCATTGGCTAGGCAAGGTACCTTAACCTAATAGCAAGTTCCAATTTTTTGTGTTTGCTGGGGATCAACCCAGCACCCCACCCCATACTCACCCCACACATGCTAAACATAGTGTACTGCCATTAAGCTACATCCCCAGGTGCATTCCAAAATTATTCGTCTAGGGCTGGGGATATGGCTCAAGCAGTAGCGCGCTCCCTGGCATTCGTGCGGCCCGGGTTCGATTCTCAGCACCACATACAAACAAAGATGTTGTGTCCACCCAAAACTAAAATAAATAAATAAAAACACTCTCTCTCTCTCTCTCTCTCTCTCTCTCTCTCTCTCTCTCTCTCTCTCTCTCTCTCTCTCTCTCTCTCTCTCTCTCTTAAAAAAAATTATTCATCTAGTTGCTCAATTTAGAATGGAAGAAGGCCTCTATAGAAAGTAAAGTCTAGGGCTGGGGTTGTGGCTCAGCGGTAGAGCTCTTGCCTTGCACGTATAAGACTTTGGGTTCCCTCCTCAGCACCACATAAAAATAAATAAAGGTATTAAAAAAAAAGAAGAAGAAGAAGAAGAAGAATAGGGGGAAAAAACAAAAGTAAGGTCTACTTAAAATTCAAAGGGCACCTTTATCAAAGCAGTTTCTCAAAAGAAATGGCATTCATCACAACAGGCATTCTCTGCCATGCAAGACCTCTCAAGGATAGAAAGTGGTGGCAGTGTTAGGGAAACAACTTTGGAGGGTAGCTCCAAGTCTAACAGTAGGTGGCTCTGTTGTAGGATGAGTTCTTGGTCCTTAAATGGGTAACTGACAGATTATGGCTGCCAAGGTATAAATTCTTTAAGTGTCTGTCAAAGTCTTGAGTTGCATGTGTGCTATGGTTTGGATCTGAAATGTTCCCCAAAAGCCCACATGTTGAAGGGACAGTTCCAGCCTAATACTATTGGAAGTGATGAGATCTTTAAGAGGTAGGGCCTCATGGGTCACTGGGGATATGGACTTGCAAGGAGTGTGGAACCTCTCCCTTTTCTCTTCTTTTCAATCTTTCCCATTACATCTGTGAGGTAAACAACTCCAGTATGACCACATGCTTCTGCCATGATGTGTTGTCTTTCCACAGGCCCGAAAGCAATGACACCAGTTGATCATAATAGAAACCTCCAAAGCTGTGAGCTAAAATCATTTTTTTCTCTTTATAAGTTGATTATATCAGATATCTGTTTCAGTAAAAGAAATCTGACTAACACAATAAAGCCCATAACAATGAAATTGAGGCTGGTAATTCACATATGGGGTCTGATGAGGTATGGGGTCATATTCTGAAGGGGATAGGGAGTTCACTCCAGTTTCTTACATATGGGGTCTGTTAGGGATGCACATCTGGAGCATACAGGAGAATACACTCCGCTTTTAAATCACAGCACAACCTATTATTCATATCTGAACAGTTGAAGTGTTTGGAGTCATTTTGAAGCTGCATAGTTTAGTCCAGTCATGGTGGCACATGCCTGTGATCCTACTGATTTGGGAGGCTAAGGCAGGAGGATAGCAAGTTCCAGGCCAGTCATAGCAATTTAGCAAGACCCTCAGACACTTATCTAGACCCTGAGTTAACATAAAAAATAAAAAGGGCTGTGGATTTGGTTCAGTGGTAAAGCCTGGAAGCGCATGGCCCACAAATGACAGAGGCAGGAGACAGGAAGCAGACCTCCTGTCAGCAAGCTTTCCTTTATTCTGTAAGTAAAGTCAATCATGAGGCACGGGAGGACTCATTTTCTAGGTATAGGAAATGGCCCTCGGGTTGCAGAAGGAGTCTGGGTTTTATAGTTTACGATGAGGGCAAAGTAATCACTGGAGACTGCAGATGTGCGGTTTGGACAGTCAGGGACCTAGCTTAGCAGGTTCAAATTTTAACTCAAGAGAGCAGTTGTAAAAAGTTTGAAAATGAGTATCACTGGGGAAAGCTCATAACTCCGTGTTCACTGCTTATCTTCCTTCCTCCAGGACCCATTGCTACCCAGAGCTTCACTATTTGCTTTTCTCATTCCAGGACTCATCTGCAATGAGAAAGGGTAAAAGTCTTGGGCCCAGCATTTCATTATTTGCCTCCTTCTTCAGGACCCATTGGGGTTGGGAAGGGGCAAATGTTTGCTTTTGGTGGAGATGCTGGGGATAAACCTGGGAAGGGATGAAAGTTTGCTCTTTCTCTAAGGATCCATTATTTTTATTATTTTATTATTTTTTTTTTTTTTAGAGAGAGAGAGAGAGAAAGAGAGAACTTATTTATTTTTTTAGTTTTCGGCGGACACAACATCCTTGCTTGTATGTGGCGCTGAGGATTGAACCCGGGCCGCATGCACACCAAGCAAGCACGCTACCGCTTGAGCCACATCCCCAGCCCCGAGGATCCATTATTACTGGGAAGAGATGTATTGGGAGAGCTTTAATGTTTGGCTAATTTCCCCTCCCTCCTCCCAGTCACATTACCTTCGTTGCCAGGTTTCTGTTCTCACGACTAAAAGGCTCAGGGGTCACTCTAGTTAAACTGGGCTAACTGGGCTACACGAAATAACCACACAACAGACACAAATACCTTTTTCTTTGGGGTTGCTAAGGAGAGGTCGCAGGGCTGAGGTAGATAACAGGTCGCCCGTTTATTGGCAAGCTCTTCCATATGTCAGTTCCAGAGCCCAAGAAGTTAATTCTAATTGGGGCTAAGGCTTCCCACCAGCAGGGTTTGAACATTGGCGCTGGTGGGAACGTTTCTTGCCAGTGAAAGAAACAAAGAGGAGAAAGAGGGTCGTTAGATGCCATGCTGGGGTTTTTCTCTGGGGTGCTGCTGCCGTTATATGTTTTCCCAACATTCCTCCCTTTTTGTTTTCTTAGGAATTGGGGCGTCATTGGTCAGATCTGGCTGCTTCCAGCTGTGCAGGGGCGGCGTAGGGCCTAGAAGGGGAAGTGGAGGAATGTTCTGGGGGCCAGGTCTGGGGATATCATGGCAACCAGAAATAAAACCCAGTGGCTATAGACTGCTACTTCCGTAGGGGTGAAGTCTATGAAAGTTCCCTGAAACCACAAGTCGTCGATGGCATTGAACCAGTCCTGGATGGAGGAAATAGTTGGTATCAGCCACTGGTCCTGTAACAGAGACTCTAGGAAATATTGGAAGCATTGCCTTGACATGGCGTCACCAGCACCTGAAGAAAATCAGAGCAAACAAAAGCAGGATGAAGATAAAAATTAAAGCAAATGTCAGTTTTTGGCAGAAGTTCCATGTTGGGGGACTGACAGAGAAGAGGCCAAGGGCCATGAGGAGGCTTAAAAGGACATAAAGGCTCAAAAATCCAGGATGGCAGATTAAGGGGTTCTCCGGGCTCGTTGTCTCCCACTGTCCGATGTCCGTTGCATTCCATCGCTCCTGGTAGTGAGCTTCAGCAATGAGTGAGCTGTTCTCTTGAAGATGTTGGGGGCTCATCGGTCACCAGAGGCTAGTAGTACCTAAGCAGAGGCTGGCTGAAAGTTTAGTTAGAGATCTTCCGTAATTGGCCCTGTAGGAACTGAAGCAGACAGGGCAGGAACAGACACATCAGGAAAAGAAGACATATAGGCCCTAAAAGGGGCTAAAAAGAAGGTGGCAAATGGGTTTTGGTTTGGTGGATTTTTCAAAGAGGTAGCCAAGTCAGTGAGCTTGACTACATTAGTTTCCACAAGGCCTGATTCATTGATGTAGTAACAGCATTCTTCCCTCAAGAAAAGAAGGTTTCACCTTTTTTGGCTGTGAGTAAGTCTATAGCTCGTTGATTTTGAAGAGTAACTTGAGCCAAGGATGTGACCCGCCTTTGTAAGGATGCTAGAGATTCTGCCGTAGAAGTGAGTGCTTGTTCAAGTTTAGAACTTGAACAGTTTAGAACTGTACAGCCCATAAGGAGTGTCCTAGAGCTCCACCAGATATTCCGGTTCCCACTGCAGATACAGCCAGTGAGAGACCCACCAGTATTGGAAGGAAAGCAGCCCGCTTATTCCTCGCTGGGGGGAGACAAGAGGGCCTGCACTTCAGCTGGAGTATAGAGAGTCAATTGTGGGACAAGTGTCACCAGTATACATGGCGTAGAGGTGTTGGTGAATAAGATAATGATGAGAGAACCATTACACCAGAAGAATGAGCCAGGTGGTGCATAGAGGGTGAAGTTAAAGGTGATGTTAGAGTGGCAAAACTGACTGGGAGACACCCAAGCCCAGGAGGCAGCGCAGTATGGTTAAACTCACAGTATGGCTAGACTCCTCGGGCTCCCATAATGGAGCATTGGGTGAAAGGGTTCGGCCGGCAGATGGAGTGGAGAAATTTGAGAGGTCAGAAGCCTAGAAGTTCAAGGGAACCGCTGCAAGTAATGGTTGAGTCAGAGAGGCGCATAAGTAGCAATCAGTTGGTGTGATGACGGGGAGGGTTAGATTTAAGAAGGTTACAGTTTTAGTAAGTAGTCATAGCCATGAATACTGTAGTGGACTCCTGACATTAGGCTCATATTGATCCTGTATGGAGTCTAACAACTGCTGTTTGGAATGCTTTAAGAGGAGGGCGATGATATCCCCTGGAAAATGGTGATGACTGTGAAAATACCACTTAGAAGAGTGGGAGTCATGGTGGAGTATGGGCAGTTACACGAGACAGAAGAAGCTTTAGAGGATAGTTAGGATGTGGAGAGCAGGAGTAAAGGGGAGGTCTAGGAGGTGACCCTTGAGGCTCCTCTGGGGTAGTCTTGTCATCAGCAGGTGGGGCGGCCTCCTGGTGATATGGCTTCAACAGAATTCCTCAGTTTGATCTGCTTTGAAGCATAGCATTGCTGAACATAAGTGGGATGAGGTGGCCCAGTTGAATTCAGTAACATTAAGGGCCCGATTACAGCCAGTGAAAGGCCAATCGCCTTGGCCCATAGACTGAGAGCGGATGGTGCCATCCTGTTGCCATGTCGCTTGGATGTAGAAGCGCCATCTGTGGGTTGGGATAGAAGGTTGAGAGAGATTAATGATTAGTAATAGGAGAGGGTTGGCAAGAAACTTTGAGTTTGATGGGCCCCAG